CTTAGTAGTAATTTCCATTCTCTTCTTGTTTCAAAGAGTTAAGAGGGAGAGAGAATGGCAATTTGGGAGATCAAAGATGTTGAGAACGGTGAAATCGTAAATAAAGTCGTCGAGGATCTAGAGAAACCATTTTTGAAGAATCAAGATGATCATGAAGGAGAGATTGAGATTAATGAATCCTACTTGATGGTCCTCTTCAGCACTTTTGTTGCTGTTTGTGGCTCCTTTGAGTTTGGCTCTTGTGTAAGTTTTGGCTATACAGAGACACTCTATTTCAATCTGAAGTTTCCTTTATAGCATGTCTTAATTTGTTCACCAAACTAAGAATTTTTTTTTTCTTTTTTACTTATTCAAGGTTGGCTACTCAGCTCCTACTCAATCATCTATAAGACAAGATCTCCAACTCTCACTTGCAGAGGTTTGTGTCTATACTTCTGACACAAACAGAGTTTGCTTTCATGTCTTTCTTTTTTTTTTTTTTGTTACTCAAGTAGTAGTATTTTTTCATGTATACATGTTAATTGGACTGCATCTAACATCCGAAAATTGCTTTGTTGAAAATTTTGGCCATCTTTGCGATTTTTGGTACCTATTATCGAAGAAACATAACATATCTTCTTGCAAAACAATATTGGTCAACAAGCATTGTGAGTAAATTGTTGGCAAAAGAAACAAACTATAAATTCTCCGATTTTTGTACCTAACAATGTTTAAATTTTAAAGCTTGTTAGTTAATATATGATTTATTAAGATATATTGTTGTGTATGTAAAAATGCAGTTCTCCATTTTTGGCTCCATATTAACAATTGGTGCAATGCTCGGTGCTGTTATGAGTGGGAAAATTTCAGATTTTTTGGGCCGAAAAGGGGTAAAATCTTGCTCATCCCAAACTAAAGTGCCCAAAATTATTATTTTAAAATTTTTGAATGCTTATGTCGAAATTCATTTCAGGCTATGAGAACGTCAGCTTGCTTCTGCATTACAGGTTGGCTCGCTGTCTTCTTCTCCAAGGTAACATTAATTTACACATACAAACCTGTCTTTTCGATTATTTGCGACATTGAAGCTACAAATTCTGAATTTAGTATGGATTTTGATCTTACTGATCCAATAAAATCAATATTTGATTTTAATATATGATGTTAAAATGTGGAGCAGGGTGCTTTGTTACTTGATGTAGGAAGGTTCTTTACAGGATATGGAATTGGAGTTTTTTCTTATGTGGTAATTTACACTCTTTTTAACTAAAGAAATTATAAACCCCTTGACTTCGATTCTTTTTTTTTTTTTTAATGTTTTGTTAATCTAGTAGTTCAAGAAGATAAATTGGTCTAGTTGTAATTCTAACTTTTTGGGGGTAATTATGAACCAATGCTTATAAAAACTCTGAGTCTCCAAAGTAAAATACAGGTCCCTGTGTATATTGCTGAGATATCTCCCAAGAATCTCCGAGGTGGACTCACAACACTGAACCAACTCATGATTGTGATCGGCTCATCGGTTTCTTTCATGATCGGATCTCTCATTTCCTGGAAAACTCTTGCCCTTACCGGTAAATTTCTCGAGTTTCTTAGTCAATCTTTAAAGAAGAAATCCCCTTTGTAAGCTAATCAATATATATATTTTGGTCTTAAAAGGACTTGTTCCCTGCATTGTTTTGCTCCTTGGCTTGTGCTTCATACCCGAATCTCCCCGATGGCTGGTATTGTATTCTTGATTTTATCCATCTTTTCTAAAACAAAGTTTCTTCAACATCATCTAAATCTTTCATGCTATTTAATTTGTAGGCAAAGGCAGGCCATGAGAAAGAGTTTCGCGTTGCCCTACAAAAGCTGCGAGGAATAGATGCAGATATCACCAATGAAGCAGAAGAGATTCAAGCCTCAATTCAAGCTCTAGAGATTCTTCCAAAAGCAAGGATCCAAGATCTTGTTTCCAAGAAATATAGTCGATCTGTCATCGTAAGTTTAACTCAGAGCCAAAAACAAAAACTTATCAATCTTTTGAGTATACTTGATTCATTCAACTCGAAGATTAAGTGTGTTCTTTTCTCATGTGTGATCGAATGTTCTTCAGATTGGTGTTTCCCTGATGGTATTCCAACAGTTTGTGGGAATCAATGGGATCGGATTCTATGCAAGCGAAACGTTTGTAAAAGCCGGTATATACGATAAACCTCAGTATCTTGTATTGTACCAGAACCAAAGTCATTTGAGATTCTAATGGATGTCTCAAAAACTTGCAGGACTTTCATCTGGGAAATTCGGAACAATAGCTATGGCTTGTGTTCAGGTAAACAAATCGTTTCACGTTACTCGATATTTTCTTCTATTATGATCCGTATTTCACTAAAGTTTAAACATATCGAATCATTTCTAACAGGTGCCCGTAACTGTTCTTGGAACAATCTTGATAGATAAATGTGGAAGAAGGCCATTAATAATGGTAAAAATCTTATAATCTATAGAACGCGATTTCGATTCAAAAGTTTAAAATATTATTTATATGTACAACTACTGCTGCAGATTTCAGCTGGTGGTATTTTCTTGGGATGTATACTCACAGGCACAGCTTTCTTACTCGAGGTCCATATCATAAACCCTAGCTAACACTCCTGTTTTCACTTTGAAATTTATTTATGTGCTCAGTATAACCATATCATTACATCAAATCTGTTATGTTTTGGATTCAGGGACAAGGCTTGTTGCTTGAATGGGTTCCTGTTTTAGCCGTTGGAGGTGTACTTGTAAGTGAAACTTGGTTCTTACTTAGTAGTGCAAACAAAACAGAACACAAGAACAGAGCTCTATATTAAGCTTCTGTCTCTTCATCATTATTCAGATCTATGTAGCTGCTTTCTCCATCGGAATGGGACCTGTTCCTTGGGTGATAATGTCTGAGGTTTGAAAGCCCTAAACTTGTTAAAAAAAACAGAGAGCATTTACTTGTGTTACAAGTAAAGCTGTTTTAAAACAGAGTGAATGCTTTTAGAAGAGTATAATGAAGTTGTGCTCCTCTGTTTTTGGGGATGGTAAAAAACGCAGATATTTCCGATAAACGTGAAGGGAATCGCAGGAAGCTTAGTGGTACTGGTGAATTGGTCTGGTGCTTGGGCTGTTTCTTACACTTTCAACTTCCTCATGAGCTGGAGCTCTCCAGGTACTCTTTTTTAAGGTCTTGTTCGGGAGAACAGTGTGTTTTAACTTAATCGCAAGAAAACCGCGTTCTAGGAAACGCTAAATTGAGACAAAGCTATGTGTTTTGTTTGTGTAGGTACATTCTACATGTACTCTGCTTTTGCAGCGACGACAATTATCTTTGTGGCGAAGATGGTGCCTGAAACTAAAGGGAAGACGCTTGAAGAGATCCAATCTTGTATTCGAAGAGAAACATAAGAACAGAGATACAATCAGTTCTATGGGAAGTCATCAAATTAAAGACTCAGAGGTTTTTTTTACTGTGGTAAGCTTTTTAAGGCGGTTTTGATTTTGTAGAATATAGGTTTATTTTATGTATTTGTTGTAAATTAAAGGAAAATTTATGGATCCGAATGACGGAATCAGTTGAGCAAAAAGCACTTGGTTTGACTCAAAGTTTGTGGAATGTTTCTAAGCAATATAACCCGAAACACAAAAATATCGAGAAATCG